TGGATGGATGGATGGATCCATGGATGGATGGATGGATGGATCCATGGATGGATGGATGGATGGATGATGGATGGATGGATGGATCCATGGATGGATGGATGGATGGATGGATCCATGGATGGATGGATGGATCCATGGATGGATGGATGGATGGATGGATCCATGGATGGATCCATGGATGGATGGATGGATGGATCTGGTTCCTTCTCCTGAGGTCACCTCAGTGGCCACCATCCACTGGGTTCCCTCAACTTCTCCTTTCTCCAAGTCCATGGAGGTTTCTCCATGGTGGCCACCAAAGTCACGGTGGGGTGTTGGTGGCACCATCCAGGTTCTCCTTGGTCCTTGGAGGTTTCTCCATGGTGGCCACCAGCATCATTATGGGGTCTTGGTGGCACCAAGAAACTGCCAAAATGTCTCCAAGTCCATGGAGGTTTCTCCATGGAGACCACCACTCATGGGTCCCTCCAACTTCTCCTTGCTCCATGGTGGCCACCACAGTCATGGCGGGGTCTTGGTGGCACCATCCAGGTTCTCCTTGCTCCATGGAGGTTTCCCCATGGTGGCCACCACAGTCATGGTGAGGTTTCAGTGGCACCAAGAAGCTCCCAAAATGTCTCCAAGGCCATGGGGGTTTCTCCATGGTGTCCCCCAAGATGGTCTCTTGGTGGCACCAAGCTCCCAAACGAGCTCCAAGGCCATGGAGGTTTCTCCATGGTGGCCACCACAGCCATGGCAAGGTCTTGGTGGCACCATCCAACTTCTCCTCGCTCTATGGAGGTTTCTCCATGGTGGCCACCACAGTCATGGGTCCCTCCAACTTCTCCTCACTCCGTGGTGGCCACCAGAGTCACTGTGAGGTCTTGGTGGCCACCATCCACTGGGTTCCCTCAACTTCTCCTTTACCCAAGAGCATGGCGGTTTCTCCATGGTGNAGGTCTTGGTGGCCACCATCCACTGGGTTCCCTCAACTTCTCCTTTACCCAAGAGCATGGCGGTTTCTCCATGGTGACCACCAGTCATGGCAAGGTCTTGGTGGCACCATCCAGGTTCTCCTCGCTCCATGGAGGTTTTTCCAAGGTGACCACCAGTCATGGTGGGATCTTGGTGGCACCATCCAGGTTCTCCTCGCTCCATGGCGGTTTCTCCATGGTGGCCACCACATAGTTTTGGCTCCTCCACCTTCCCCCCTTGCACGCTGGTGGAACCACCACGCCCACGTGTCCTGGGATCCCACCACGAAGCTCCACCACAGAGCTCCACCACGAAGCTCCACCATGGAGCTCCACCACGAAGCTCCACCATGGCGCTCCACCACGAAGCTCCACCATGGAGCTCCACCATGGAGCTCCACCACGAACCCCCACCACAGAGCTCCACCACAAAGCTCCACCACGAAGCTCCACCATGGAGCTCCACCACGAAGCTCCACCACAAAGCTCCACCACGGAGCTCCACCATGGAGCTCCACCACGAAGCCCCACCACGAAGCTCCACCACGGAGCTCCATCACGGAGCTCCACCACGAACCCCCACCACGAAGCTCCACCATGGAGCTCCACCACGGAGCTCCACCACGGAGCTCCACCACGAAGCTCCACCACGGAGCTCCACCACGAAGCTCCACCACGGAGCTCCACCACGAAGCTCCACCACGGAGCTCCACCATGGAGCTCCACCACGAAGCTCCACCACGGAGCTNGCGGTGGCTCCGAGCAGATCCCACCCGGAGCTCCGCGATGACCTGGGTTGTCCCTGCAGGGCCTGAAGAAGCCGAACCTGGAGGAGATCCGCCACGCCAAGAACGCCATCTTCAGCCCGTCCATGTTCGGCAGCTCGCTGCAGGAGATCGTGGCCATGCAGAAGGAGCGCTACCCCGACCGGCAGCTGCCCTGGGTGCAGACCCGGCTCTCCGAGGAGGTCCTGGCCCTCAACGGCGACCAGACCGAGGGCATCTTCAGGTAAAGCCACCCCACGCCCGGGGACACCTCGTGGTGCTGGTGGTGAGCTGGAGGTTCTCGAGAAGGTTGGGGGTTCTGGGGTGGTTCTGCTCTGGTGGGTGCTGGAAGGTCATGGGGGTTGGTTTGTGGTGGACAACAAAGTGGTGGTGGAACCAGCCAGGTTCTCCTTGGTGCATGGGGGTTCCTTCATGGTGGCCACCAAAGTCATGGCAAGGTCTTGGTGGCACCAAGGTCCCAAATCTGCTCCAAGTCCATGGAGGTTGGTTTGTGGTGGACAGCAAAGTGGTGGTGGAACCAGCCAGGTTCTCCTTGGTCGATGGGGGTTTCTCCATGGTGGCCACCACAGTCATGGTGGGGTCTTGGTGGCACCAAGGTCCCAGATCTGCTCCAGGGTCATGGGGGTTTGTGGTGGACAACAAAGTCGTGGTGGGGTCTTGGTGGTGCCATCCAGGTTCTTCTTGGTCCATGGGGGTTCCTTCATGGTGGCCACCACAGTCATGGTGGGCTCTTGGTGGCACCAAGGTCCCAAATCTGCTCCAAGGCCATGGAGGTTTCTCCATGGTGGCCACCAGAGTCATGGCAAGGTCTTGGTGGCACCATCAAGGTTCTTCTTGGTCCATGGGAGGTTTCTCCATGGTGGCCACCACAGTCATGGTGGGGTGTTGGTGGCACCAAGCTCTCAAGATGTCTCCAAGGCCATGGAGGTTGGTTTGTGGTGGACAGCAAAGTGGTGGTGGGGTCTTGGTGGTGCCATCAAGGTTCTTCTTGGTCCACCATGGTGGCCACCACAGTGGTGGTGAGTTCTTGGTGGTACCATCAAGGTTCTCCTTGCTCCATAAAGGTTTCTCCATGGTGGGCATCAAAGTCATGGTGGGGTCTTGGTGGCACCAAGGTCCCAAAATGGCTCCAAGGCCATGGGGGTTTCTCCACAGTGGTCACCACAGTCATGGTGGGATCTTGGTGGCACCATCCACTGGGTTCCCTCAACTTCTTCTTCCTCCAAGGTCATGGGGATCGTTTGTGGTGGCCACCAAAGTGATGGTGAGGTCTTGGTGGTGCCATCCAGGTTCTCCTTGGTCCATGGGGGTTCCTTCATGGCGGCCACCACAGTCATGGTGGTGTCTTGGTGGCACCAAGCTCTCAAGATGTCTCCAAGGCCATGGAGGTTTCTCCATGGTGGCCACCACAGTCATGGCAAGGTCTTGGTGGCACTGTCCAGGTGGGTCCCTCCAACTTCTCCTTGCTCCATGGTGACCACCACAGCCATGGTGGGGTCTTGGTGGCACCATCCAGGTTCTCCTTGGTGCATGGAGGTTTCTCCATGGTGACCACCAGAGTCATGGTGGGGTCTTGGTGGCACCAAGAAGCTCCCAAGACAGTTCCTCCATGGTGGCCACCACAGTCATGGCAAGGTCTTGGTGGCACCATCCAGGTTCTCCTTGGTCCATAAAGGTTTCTCCATGGTGGCCACCAGAGTCATGGTGGGGTCTTGGTGGCACCAAGGTCCCAAATCTTCTCCAGGGCCATGGGGGTTTGTTTGTGGTGGGCAACAAAGTCGTGGTGGGGTCTTGATGGTGCCATCAAGGTTCTTCTTGGTCCATGGAGGTTTCTCAATGGTGGCCACCACAGTCATGGTGGGGTCTTGGTGGCACCAAGGTCCCAAATCTGCTCCAAGGCCATGGGGGTTTGTTTGTGGTGGACAACAAAGTGGTGGTGAGGTCTTGGTGGCGTCATCAAGGTTCTCCTTGGTCCACCATGGTGGCCACCACAGTCATGGTGGGGTCTTGGTGGCACCAAGAAGCTCCTAAGACAGTTCCTCCATGGTGACCACCAAAGTCATGGCAAGGTCTTGGTGCCATCAAGGTTCTTCTTGGTCCATGGGGGTTTCTTCATGGTGGCCATCAAAGTCATGGTGGGATCTTGGTGGCACCAAGAAGCCCCCAAGACAGTTCCTCCGTGGTGACCACCAAAGTCATGGCAAGGTCTTGGTGGCACCGTCCAGGTTCTCCTTGGTCCATGGGGGTTTCTTCATGGTGGCCACCACAGTCATGGTGGAATCTTGGTGGCACCAAGGTCCCAAATCTGCTCCAAGGCCATGGAGGTTTGTTTGTGGTGGACAACAAAGTCGTGGTGGGGTCTTGGTGGCACCAAGGTCCCAAAATGGCTCCAAGGCCATGGAGATTTCTCCATGGTGTCCATCAGTCATGGTGGGGTGTTGGTGGCACCAAGCTCCCAAACGAGGTCCAAGACCATGGGGGTTTCTCCACAGTGGCCACCACAGCCAAGGTGAGGTCTTGGTGGCACCATCCACTGGGTTCCCTCAACTTCTTCTTCCTCCAAGGTCATGGGGATCGTTCGTGGTGGACACCAAAGTGATGGTGGGGTCTTGGTGGTGCCATCCAGGTTCTTCTTGGTCCATGGGGGTTCCTTCATGGTGGCCACCACAGTCATGGTGGGCTCCTGGTGGCTCCAACTCCCAAGATGTCTCCAAGGCCATGGAGGTTTCTCCATGGAGGTCATGGCAAGATCTTGGTGGCACCAAGAAGCTCCCAGAACATCTCCGAGACCATGGAGGTTTCTCCATGGTGTCCCCCAAGATGGGCTCCTGGTGGCACCAACAAGCTCCCAAGATGGCTCCAAGACCATGGGGGTTTCTCCATGGTGGCCACCACAGTCATGGTGATGTCCTGGTGGCTCCAACTCTCAAGATGTCTCCAAGGCCATGGCGGTTTCTCCATGGAGGTCATGGCAAGATCTTGGTGGCACCAAGAAGCTCCCAAAACCTCTCCAAGGCCATGGAGGTTTCTCCATGGTGGCCACCACATGGTCACCACCATGCTGAGGTCTTGGTGGCACCATCCAGGTTCTTCTTGGTCCATGGGAGGTTTCTTCATGGTGGCCACCACAGTCATGGTGGGATCTTGGTGGCACCAAGGTCCCAAAGATATCTCCAAGGCCATGGAGGTTTCTCCCTGATGTGCCCCAAGATGGGCTCCTGGTGGCACCAAGAAGCTCCCAAGATGGCTCCAAGACCATGGAGGTTTCTCCATGGTTGCCACCACAGCCATGGTGAGGTCCTGGTGGCTCCAACTCCCAAGATGTCTGCAAGGCCATGGAGGTTTTTCCATGGTGGCCACCGGTCATGGTGAGGTCTTGGTGGCACCAAGAAGCTCCCAAGATGTCTCCAAGGTCATGGAGGTTTTTTCCATGGAGGTCATGGCAAGATCTTGGTGGCACCAAGAAGCTCCCAAAACATCTCCAAGACCATGGAGGTTTCTCCATGGTGGCCACCACAGTCATGGTGGGGTCTTGGTGGCACCAAGGTCCCAAATCTGCTCCAGGGTCATGGGGGTTTGTTTGTGGTGGACAGAAAAGTGGTGGTGGGGTCTTGGTGGCACCAAGCTCTCAAGATGTCTCCAAGGCCATGGAGGTTTCTCAATGGTGGCCACCAAAGTGGTGGTGAGGTCTTGGTGGTGCCATCAAGGTTCTCCTTGGTCCATGGGGGTTCCTTCATGGTGACCACCACAGTCATGGTGGGATCTTGGTGGCACCAAGCTCTCAAGATGTCTCCAAGGCCATGGGGGTTGGTTTGTGGTGGGCAGCAAAGTGGTGGTGGGGTCTTGATGGTGCTATCAAGGTTCTTCTTGCTCTGTAGAGGTTTCTCCACGGCGGCCACCACAGTCATGGTGAGGTCTTGGTGACACCAAGGTCCCAAAACAGCTCCAGGGCCATGAAGATTTCTCCATGATGTCCCCCAAGATGGGCTCCTGGTGGCACCAACTCCCAAGATATCTGCAAGGCCATGGAGGTTTCTCCATGGAGGTCATGGCAAGATCTTGGTGGCACCAAGGTCCCAAAACAGCTCCATGGCCATGGATGTTTCTCCATGGTGTCCACCACAGTCATGGTGGGATCTTGGTGACACCAAGGTCCCAGAACACCTCCAAGGCCATGAAGGTTTCTCCATGATGGCCACCACAATCATGGTGGGGTCTTGGTGGCACCAAGGTCCCAGAACACCTCCAAGGCCATGGAGGTTTCTCCATGGTGGCCACCACAATCATGGTGGCCCCCACCATCTCCACGCCCAGCTGACGTCCCCACCAGGTTCTCCACCGGTCCCACCCCACCACCCCCTCCATCCCATCTCCACAGGGT